AAAATCAGTGGATTAAAACAAGGCTAAGACTCATTAAGTGGAGCCTTCTTGTTCTAACACAACAGGAAATCATTTCTGCCATAACCAAAACCTGATACATTACAAAGAAATATCAGTTTATAAAAATTTTTATTAAATTTCACAAAGAAAACTAAAATTTCCACATGGGTTACTTGAAAAAATGTAAATATCTTACTGTGATAATTTTTTCCATGGAAAAACTTTAAATTCAAACAACTGATCACAGCTGTTATAAGAAGTATAAGCAGGACTCTAATTAATGAATTTACTAATAGTTGTTCTCTAACAGTAACCCAACTCTAGCATCTAGATGGTTTTTCTTTTCTAGAGGGTTTTTACACCTTGTTTCAAAAGTATATTTTAACTTCAATGAAGAAAATATTTTTAATAACTTTATTGTCACACAATCAGCATCAAGTTAGCATTACAGTCTCTTAAAATGCAGGTTTTAATTCCAATTTGATATGAAACCTGAAACAATGAAACCTGAAAATATATTTTAGTTAAGGCTTTTTAAGGGAGATGCTTATGTTCACTGGCAAAATACCAATTTACTATCAAATAAAAACATTTTTGCTTTGTTTTTGAGGCTTACGCTGATGCTGTTTTCTACATTTCTAGCTCTTGGACTTGCACCTTCTGGGAAAACAACAGATTATGCCTTTGAGGTAGATATAATAAGTCCATTCTTTCCTTTAGGAATGACTTGAAAAAATACTCCAGTATTTTGCTAATGCATTATTGTCTCTTTTGAAATCTGCTATTAATTGATGTTCCCTAATCTCATTATTTGATCAGACCCTATTTAGAAAAGTACTTTGTTGGGGTAATGGAATATAAATCTTCTGATAACATGAGTAATGTCTAAAATACGGTCTTTTGTTCAGCCATCAAAATAGGACAAATTCCCAGGGCACCTGGGTGGCTCAGTCAGTTAAGCATCCAGCTCTTGATTTCGGCTCAGGTCATGATCTCTCACTTCCTGAGATCAAGCTCCATGTGGGGTTCTGCGCTGATAGTGTGGAGCCTGTTTGGAATTCTTTATCTCCTCCCTCTGCCCCTCCCCTGCTCGTGCTTGCCCTGTCTAAATAAATAAATAAACAAATAAACAAACGTGAAAAAATTAAAAGAAAAATAGGACAAATTCCCAGTTCTACAAACTCTCTAGCTTATATACATTGTATGTTATATCTTCTTTAGTTTTATAACAATCCCAAAAGAGAACCAAGTAATCTTTTGAAGCAAAAGCAAAGGAGCAATGAATTCTGATGAATTTTTATCACACTACAATTATATAATCACTTGTTTTTATCTCTGTCCCCTCCTAGTTCAGGAGCCATAAGTTAAAATGAAGGCCACCCTAAGAAATATACACTTTATTCTCTACACAATAAGGAACCATTCATTTCATTCATAGTTTTTAGAAATGAAATGGCCAATCCTCTAACACACCCTATACCTGAATCTTTTTTTTTTCAGATGGCCGTTTCAAATATTAGATATGGAGCAGGAGTTACAAAGGAAGTGGGAATGGCAAGTATTTAAGAATTCCTATAGTCTTCCACTATAAATGTTATATATCTTTTAAAACAAGTACAAATTGACAACAATTGAGTCCTTTGTTTCGAAAAATGTACAATGTTAAGTTTACCAGAGAGAGAGAGAGAGAGAGAGAGAGAGCCTATTACAGTTCTAGGGCAATCAAACCTAACTTATAAATTATTTTTGTTATTGTAGGACCTACAAAATATGGGTGCTAAAAATGTTTGTTTGATGACAGACAAGAACCTCTCCCAGCTCCCTCCTGTACAAATGGTTATGGATTCCCTAGTGAAGAATGGCATAAATTTTAAGATGTATGATAATGTGAGAGTGGAACCAACTGATAGAAGGTATATTTTATTGTTGTTATTTACTTTATGTAGAAGCCAACACACACCACTGTTGCTTAAAGTTTGCCCCAAGTCTTGTTTAATGGCACGGCAACTTATTTCTGAAAAAATATGACATAATGGCTTTTATTTTCCCTTCTCCAAGCTTCATGGAAGCTATTGAGTTTGCCAAAAAGGGAGTTTTTGATGCCTACGTTGCTGTCGGTGGTGGCTCCACCATGGACACCTGTAAAGCTGCTAATCTGTATGCATCTAGCCCTCACTCTGATTTCCTAGACTATGTCAATGCCCCCATTGGGATGGGAAAGCCTGTGTCTGTGCCTCTTAAGCCTCTGATTGCAGGTAAAAATTGTTTGTTTGTTTGTTTGTTTGTTTGTCTGGCTGTTTTATTTTGCAGTTGGCAAAAGGCCTTAGGAAAGATACAAGCCAGGGATTTTAGGGTATATGTTTCCAAAGCTTTCTGATTTCATCATTTCAGTGCACTACATTGTTTGGAGAACAGAACAGATATCAATTCATTTATGTTTACAATTCTGATCTTCATTATTGTACAGATAGAGACAATTTGGGTCAGTGTAGGAAAGTTTGCAGATTTATGCTAGGAAGTCACTGTATGGAGGAGGGGGGAAGGTTATCATTTCTATATTATTAGATCCCTCTATTGGCAGGTTTGTCTTTTAAACCCCTCTCTGCTTTGTCCCATTTTGCCAGCCACTGTGGAGTTTAAGGGGAACATTCGCTATTATTTTTCTGGTGTTGACTCAACCCTTTCTTCCACACAATGGCTCTTCAGCTGACCTGGGGCTTTGTCTCTGCCCTGGGACATGTGGCCAGCAAGGCTGCATCACTCTGGGCAACATCTGCTCTGTGGCTGTGCTGGGGACAGGCATGCATGCAAATCCAGATCAGAATAGCTTGTCTGTCCCACACAGACCTTAGGATCTTTTGGTCTTTTCTTTCCTCCCATTTTATGGGTGTTAGCATATTACTGTGTAAAGTCTTATAGTTAAAATGCACTAACTGGTAACTGGAAAATATCTGTCTCAAGTTTTGTCCTTTTTCTTCTCCCTCCTGTCTGCCCCTACTGCGAATGGGCCTTGTGATGGTATAGGAGTAAGTTGAAGGCAGATGAACTGCTTTGACATGAATGAGCAATCAGCAGGGAGCAACATAATTGATGTCTGCAAAATGGAACCCTCTAGTGAAACTGTGTCAAGCATCACACAGAGGGGTGATTAGTAAAGTTTAGAAACTTGACAGAACTACAAAACCACGGAGCCCAGCAAAGGCAGAGCATTACTGTGCTTGCTGCCAAGAGGGAATAAAGATGTCTTTTAGAAAAGGCGAATATGAGTTTTCTAACCAGAGATGCTGAGCAGCTTGTGTTTGAATACCCGGCTGCAGCTGCTAAAGTTCTGTTGCTCGAGTTCTCAGAGTTCCTAGCTGTTTATACAGAAACAGACATCACACATACAGGTTAAATATACACACATGTTAATATAGACATGGACACTGTACATACATGTTAGGTGTAGGTACATGTTAGCACAGGCACTGATTTCATACATGTGTGTTAATACAGATATAAGTACCACACATACTCATTAAAGGGGGCAATTCACGTTAGCTATGCCTACATGTTATGCAGACATGGACACAATGCATGTTAAACATGTGTGTGTATTAATGCGGATGGTGCCATCACATCCACATGTTAAACATGCACGTTAATGCTGACAGGCATACTATTATGCATGCATGTAAATGCAGGCACCCTTATACATGTGAAGCATACATGCTTATTAATATAGATACAGACATCAGGTGAGCAACAGACACAGCAAAGCTTCCTTCTCTAACTTTGCTCCTTGCTTCCCAAGGCTGAATTAAGTATCTCCACTGACCTTTATTTAGAAGCATTATTTAAATTGATATTATTTTGTTTGAGTCCCAACCACCTCAGGAACTGGGAGTGAAACTACAGGAGTTGCCATCTTTGACTACGAACACTTGAAAGTAAAAACTGGTAAGAACTTTGCCCGTAACTTTTTAAAAAATTCTCTCTCTTACCTTTCAACCCCACCTCCTTTTCTTTAATCTTAATGTTTAAAAATCAAGGAGTTATAGAGTTAAGGGGAGGGTTATGTGTATACATATACATTTTATTTCTCTCTTATTTTTTATTTTTGAGAGAAAGAGAGCATGAGCAGGGAGGTACAGAGAGAGAGGGGGGCAGACGATCTGAAGTAGGCTTCATGCTGACAGCAGAAGCCTAATGCAGGGCTCAAACTCAGGAACCAGGAGATCATGACCTGAGCCGAAGTCAGACACTCAACCAGCTGAGCCACCCAGGTGCCCCTACACATTTTCTTTCTTTTTCAAAGTACATATAAACTATGAAACAGTCCAATAGACTTCTTTCTGAGAATTACCTACAAAATGATATTGAAATGCCATAATCTTGATTGGCCATTTTTCGGCCGAAGTTAGTAACTGTATGTCAGTGGTAAATGATTATTCCCTTTCTTGGACATCTTTTCTACACTTTAAATCAATTTCATTGAGATACATTTTTTAAATGCATCTTTTTTAAATTATGTATAAAATGCATACATATTAATTGTCAGTTTGATGAATTTTGACAAATAGATACACCCATGTAACCACTACCCCAATCAAAATAACAAAACATTCCCATCACTCCTGAAAGGTCCAGAGGTCCCAGGCCTTTGTAGCACAATAAATTGATATTCAACTGCACATTTACAGTAACTTCTCTTTTTAAAATTAAATTACATTATCCTTTGACATTATTAAAGATAATAGTAGCCAATACTTAAATTCTACCTTACAGTTTTTCTAAGACTTTTAGATACTATTTTCTAATGTGATCCTTACAACAGCTATGAAGGATAGAAGCCCTACATTGTCATGAGCTAATCTAACAAAGAATTCAGACTAAATGACTTGTCCAAAGATACATAGTAAGTTGCAGAATGATGACACAAACCGGTGGTGTGCTAGTAAACCAGCCCTTGGGAATTTAATCAGCAACTAAGCACTGATTTGTAGTACTGGCCAATTTCTTTGGTGTATAATACTCCCACCATAGCCAGTGGCATCATTCAACCCAGAGTTGGGAAGAGATGCACATAGTCAACTCTTTCAAACCAGAAGGAGCTTCAGACCCACTGTAAAACCCAGGTTTCTGGCTCCAAATCTCTTTCCACTGGTCTTGCTGCCTCCCTTCATGAGAATGAATCTCATCTCATATTTTTAATTTTTTAAGAATAAATTGTTATCCTAAAGTAATCTAATTTTTTAAAATGGTGTCCATACCTAGAGCCTCTATTGAAAATCCCTGTCTTAGGCATTGCTTCCAGAGCCATCAAACCCACGCTGGGACTGATTGATCCTCTGCACACCCTGCACATGCCTGACCGGGTGGTCGCCAACAGTGGCTTCGATGTGCTTTGGTAGGTACTAGTGCCATCTGGAGGGGCTTCTCCAGTTCCTGGGTCTATGGACAGTATGGATAGTGCTTTCTTGCCAAAAGCACTTGCTAAGCATTCATTGGTTAGTGTTCCACAACAACCCCAGCTTTGGTTCTCATTATTCCCTTCCCTACTTGAAAACATGGAACCTATAAAGGTTGGTGACCAGGTGAGCTCCTGGGTGCGCCATAAAGCTGCTGTTCAGGATTGACCATTCCAGCCACAGCTGCAGCCACAGGGACACAGTGAAAGGAGCAGTTGGAGCTGGCATGCAGCATCTCAGACCCACGATGCCTGCCTCTATGGCTACACAAAGCAGGAAATGCCCAGGGCTGCCACACTGTGGAAGAGGGCAGGAAAGGGAGCTAATGTTTCCCAAGCTGGACTGTGCTCACCGTGTCAGCACTTTACACACCACCACTTCACCACAGCTCTGTGCTATACGAAAAAGAAACCTGGCTTTGAGATGTTTAGTAACTTCCCAGAGCCATACTGCAGGCTCTCTTGACCTCAGCTGCAATGTGCTGATGGATCCCTGAGCAGTGTTCCTTCCAGCAGCTTCACAGAGACGCACAGACACTTCACGTTCAGCATGTCCCGAGCTGCCTATTTCATCCACTTGCACATGCACATTTTTTTTCACATTCTAACATATCTAAACTCAGAACACATCTTAAAATCTGTGGCATGACAGTATGGTTTTCTTCCTCAGTGGTACTATTTTTTTTAATTGTATATCTTATAATGGATGGCATCTTAAATTTGATGAAATCTGATAACTATCTAAACCCCCCACCCCCACCCTCACAGCCTCTCCTCCCGAGTCCCTTAACTTAGCAGCAGTCCCTTAACTTCTTTCTCATGCCCACACACAGCTGGTATTTCCTACCACTTATTCCGCTTGAATCTCTCTCCTGTCTGCTCCCTCCTCTCGAGCCTCATTACTTCCGCCATGGTTCAGACCTGTCCAGCTCTTGCTTGGACAGTTGCAGTAGTCTCCTCATCAGTCTCCCTGCTTCCACCCTCTAGTCCTTCTATCTGTTCTCCATAATGGCCTTAGCAAGTTTTCAGAATGCAATATAACCATCACACATCTACATGCATGCACACACACATACACATACCTCTACCTGACAGGTCTTTCAGTGGCTTTCCACTTCTACTGCCTGAAGGCCACATTTGGCCCTGGAATGTCCCCAGTGCTCAGCCGTTTATCTGCTTGGAGAATTTATCTTCCAATTCCACTGGAGCATTCTTGCCTTGATGGAACCTTTGGTGACCTTCCCCATTCCTTTCCTGAAGTACAACTGACCACTCCATTCTTTACTCTTCCCCACTGGGTGGCCTAAACATTCTTTCTGAGACACCTCCATTTCACATGCCCATCTCCTTCACTGCACTGTGAGCTTGATGAAGACAGGACCATCTTACTTCTCCATCCCTGCCCCTTGGCACAGTGACTGTCACATCATAGGTATTCAGTTAATATCTCTCAAATAAAATTCACACAAGCAGGAGGTGGCAGAGTTAGGATTCACACCCAGGACTACCCAAGTCCATGGTCTGCTTTTCTCACTGTATTACATTGCCTGCCAAGAAAGTGGAGAGAAGGATTTAAAGCTGACCCCAGGATCTGTGTTCTCACCACTGCAGCATACTCTTAATAGGAGGCTTGTGTAACTATGACCCTCCTTGAGTAATATGGTATTTGATCAAATACAAGAGATAAAATGGTAAATATATTTTAAAAGGAAATAATTTTTTAGATTCAGTGCTTTTCCTCATGACTCAAATATTTAAAAATTCAACATCATGAAGATTTATTTGCACCAGAAAAGAGTCATATGTAATCCAGTAATACACACTGGTCAAAAAACACTATAGTGCTATTAATGTAAACTTCACTGTGTCAACTTCTATAATAAGTAATGACTATTGTAGGCCAGAGTCTGGTGGAATGCATTGTGATTATCACTACTACATAGCACATCTGTAGCGGAGTCAGTACTGAACAAGAGAGTTTGTAACCTGAATGGAGGGGAAAAATGAAGAAGATACTTTCAATCTGTGTATTTTCAATATTTCTTGTTAGCCATGCCCTGGAGTCCTACACTGCCCTTCCCTACCACATGCGGAGCCCCTGCCCTTCAAATCCCATCACCCGGCCAGCATACCAGGGCAGCAACCCAGTCAGTGACATTTGGGCTGTCCATGCACTACGGATCGTCGCTAAGTATCTGAAGAGGTATGTGGCCCAGAGGAGATGGAAACAAAACAGAAAGGGTGCTTGGTTGGGTCAGTAGAGCATGTGACTTTTGATCTCAGGGTTATAAGTGTGAACCCCATATTGGGTGCAGAGATTAGTTAAAAATAAAATCTTAGAAAAAAAGGACAAAAAACAGAACAGAAAACCACATTCCACCCTCACATAAAATGTAGCATGACAGATCCTGAAATATCCTGAGCAAGTCTGTTCATGAAAAGATCAGTTTAGTGGACATAGAGAAGCACCAGAAACCAGCAAGCTCCGGAAGGATGCAAAAGTCGGGGAGGGAGACACATGAGGATGGATGAAACCTGGATCCTTCAGTCTGAAAAGGCAAAGGCAAGGGGACAAAATATGAGCCCCTGATTTATGAAGGATGCATATAGAAGGATTATTCATCAAAGCCTCAAAACCAAAGCTAAGGTGAAGGGAGATGTCCTTTGAGAGTTGGTTACACCAAGAGCGGTAATGAGACTCAGAGAGGCAGATGTTGGCTGTGCCCATGCAGGCCCTGTCCAAAGGTACACTGAGTCAACCCATTAAGCAAACTCATATGAACTGAGTTTAAGAAATACATGTGTAGAGTTGTCTGTCCCAGGAGATATAAAAAGCCTCCTAAAAGATTTTGAAAGATTTATGAATGATGTATCCATGATTGGCTCCTAAGAAAGCAAAGATATACTTAGAGATGAAAGCTGATCCCTGAAACATTAGGAACTATGCAAAATCAGACTCACTTCTGTACTTATACATAATGGAGGGAAAGAACACAGCAGTTTGGACCTAGATGTGAACATGGTGCTTCCTGTGGCCCCTGGTTAGAAGTTGTACTAGAGAGGGAGCTCAAACTGTATTTTGTAGTACAGCAGGGGGAAGGGACATAGAACCATTTCAGGAGACCATCAGAGAGCATGGCAGCATTTCACTGGGTAGATGCAGATCCAGATAATGGTCAGCCAGTGTGTGCGACAGGGACAGAAGGCTTGGCAGAGCATGGTGGAAGGTAAGGGGGTAAAATGGACAGAGGATAAGCTAAAGCCCCATCATCTGCTATTTCATCTTGTTATTCAAGGAATAAGAAACTAACCCCGGTTTGGAAAGGGGCCACAGAAGCCTCACCATTCCAAATGAAAGGAGATAAAAGGCTATAGCACTCTACATAACAGAAACCCTTACTCCAGGCAAAATCAGAAAAAGCAAGCGACAGAGGGTTCATTTGGCAGTTTTCAGCTTCCTCCCTGGGGCAGGGTTTCTAAGCAAGTGTGTATGAGAAGGTTGAGCTCCATCTGCAAGGGGCCTTTGAGAATTTGCTTTTCCAAAGTGGCACTGGGGACATCTAGAGCGAGCAAAGCCTCGTCCTACAATAACATCCCACTTCTATAATGATAAATATTAAAATAACGTGTAGTTTCCACAGATACTAAGAGGCCTCCAGAGGGTTCTATTTGGGGTAGTGTCACAAAAAAAAAAAAAGATGGCTGAGCAGGCTGTAATTAGCCTGCAGGTAGCCCGAGGCAGCAGGGACTCTGAGAAGCGGTCTGAGCCCTATGCATTCTGAGTGTATGTTTACTTGAAGTCCATTCACAGCTGCAGTCAAGGTCATTGACAAATGAAGAAGAAGAATGACTCTCAGGGCACTTTTCTAGAGCAGCTCACAGCCCAAGGGTCAGTGCTTTCTTCCCCTGGCACTTTTATCACAGGAGCAGCCTGACAGAGTATTTATTATGCCTTTGCCCAAAACCATTGATGAGAAAATATGTTTCCCTTCAGTTTTCATTTAGAAGACAAGATGTCGTTTGAATAAGTTACCTAATTTTTCTTCCTACTGAGTAGCATTTCTTTTTTCCCCAGATCTTTCCCTAAGGCTGCCCTTTCTTTGTAGGAAATGCCAATGTTGATGTAGATATTTGTATCATCCACAGGGCTGTCAGAAATCCTGATGATCTTGAAGCAAGGTCTAATATGCACTTGGCAAGTGCTTTTGCTGGCATTGGCTTTGGAAATGCTGGTGTTCATCTGTGGTGAGCAAATCTGAGACTATATTTATTCACCTAAGCTATTGCTTTTATTTTTAAAATGTTTATAATTTGGGACAGGTGTAAGATCTAAATATGCCATAGAAAGAAGAAATTTAACTTTAGGTACTGGAATGTTTTGTTAATTCAAATGTGATTTGTTGAGTCATAGATTTTTTTTAAGTTTTTCTTTTTAAGTATATTTTACCCCCAATGCGAGGCTCAAACTCATGACCCTGAGATCAAGAGTCACATGCTCTACTGACTGAGCCAGCCAGGTAGCCCCTAAATTTTTTTTTTTTTTTTTGGTAACAGCCTTATGGAAATACAATTCACACTTATGGAAATACAATTATGGAAATACAATTCACACTCAATGGAAATACAATTCACTATAAAATTCACCCATTTAAAATGTATAATTCAGGGACACCTGGATGGCTCAGTAGGTTAAGTGTCTGACTCTTGATTTTGGCTCAGGTCATGATCTCATGGTTCATGACATAGAGCCCTCCCCCACAGAGGCCACTTGGAATTCTCTCTCTCCCTCTCTCTCTGTCCCTCCCTCTCAAAATAAATAAATACACATTTTTTAAAAAGAATATTAAGTAACGAAAGCAATGTTTAAAACTGTATGCACATTCGATCATAAATTAAAGATATGCATAAAAAGACCAGAAGATGTACTTTATAAGGGTTATCTTGAAGAAATAGGATTATGGATCATTCTAATTTTTACAAGGAATATATACAACTGTTAAAATAAATCGAGGAAAGTCATTCGGTATCATTAAAAAGTTACTTTTGGAAAATACATGAACTCTTTCACTTCAGGAAAAGACACTACGCAATATTTTTCCAAATACTGTGAAGCCTGAGAAAGGTAAAGTACATTCCTAAGTGCCCAGCAATTCAGAGAACCAACAGCTTCTGATCTGTCTCGTGAAGACTAATAGGCAAGGGATACCTTTTTTGATAAGTACTCATACAGTTCACCAAAATACTTCATCTTTCTATGAAATGTAAATCTTTTGGTGAATAACCCCAAAGTCGTCTAATAACCCACACAAAAAGACTTACAGACCATTTTACTATTATAAAGCATTTCACTTTCAATATTTTAATTATAAATACATTAACTTCTCACAATATATATATTCTGGGTCATCTAGTAAACTATAATACTGTCCTATTTGTTCGCTAAGAATTCAAGAGGATATAAAGAGGTTTTGTTTTTTTCTTTTTTCATTAAAACAAATTTAAAAAAACCCACAAATAAAAACCATGGTGCCTTTTCTTGATAACCTTTCAAACTGCAAAAATCATTTATGATCCAACTATGTTAGTATATAACATTTGAAAGGATATATCAATTATTGATGGGACAGATGACTGGCAGGTCAAGCTTGCATATCTAATGCAGCACATCTTGGCTCCTAAAACTCCCACCCACATCATGAGCTTGGGCAGGAACACGCTGCCAAGGCAGTGCAGAGCAAAATAGAAAACACATGCCCTGAAGCTTATTAAAGAAACTTCAAAGTAAATTCTTCAAGATCATCAAGTTAATAATGTGTTTGGGGATCAACTTCTGCATGAACACTTTTTAGTGGCATACAATTCCATGAGCATTTGAATTTGAACATTTCAGAGGTTTTGTTAATGAATACACAAAATGTCCAATGCATAATCATATATTGTTGTATCAAAGAAAACACAATGTATAACTTTGTGAGATAACTATATGGTCAACAGACTGTGAAGGCTCTCCCATAAAAGTATCTTTGTTTTGTTAACCTGAATTTCTGGTATCCATGTGTCAACATAAGGACTTTCTTTCTTTTCTAGCCATGGAATGTCCTACCCAATTTCAGGCTTAGTGAAGACATACAAAGCAAAAGATTATAATGTGGATCACCCACTGGTGGTAAAAACATAAACTCTTTAATTATATTTCATATTCCTGGAGCGCCAGGGTGGCTCAGTTGGTTAAACGTCCCAACTTCAGCTCAGGTCATGATCTCACTGTTCGTGAGTTCTGGCCTTGTGCTGGGCTCTGTGCTGACAAGCTCAGAGCCTGGAGCCTGCTTTGGATTCTTTGTTTCCCTCTCTCTCTGTCCTTCCCTGGCTCATACTGTCTCTCTCTGTCTCTCAAAAAATGAATAAATGTTAAAATTTTTTTTAATTTCATATTCCTCGCAGTTGCCATAAATGTATTTGTTAAATATATTTGTCAATTCTTGATTGTTTGGAGTATAGGGTAAAGCAATTTAGTATCTAGAAAATGCATGTTGAAAACCAACGTTGCCCCACTGGTCACCACAGTTTGTTTCTCTGCAGCCTCATGGCCTTTCTGTGGTACTCACCTCCCCAGCAGTGTTCACTTTCACAGCACAGATGTCTCCTGAACGGCACCTGGAAACGGCAGAAATATTGGGTATGAACCATGACGCATAAATCTGTGACCCACATATGTGGAGCATATCATAGGGTTGCTTCTGAAGATAATCCAGAAAGGATAATAATACCTAGAAATTTGCTTTGAAATAGCTTAATAATAAAATGTGAGTAACCTACCTGAAGTCTGTCTAGCACTAAAATTCTGTAATTTTGCTTCTATTAACAATGAAATGGAACCAAATATTGCTTATGTTAAATTTGGAGCAATAATATTTCTATTGTTTTCATCCCCAAGAAAAGTGACTCTTTATATACTGTTAATGTTACAACTGGCTTTTGCTATGTTTAGTAGATAATAAAATGGATCTAAATTGGACGTAACAGCACATTCCCAATTATAAAGAATCTAAACAACCAGAAACTTTATAAAAAGATCCCAAAAGAAGAATCTGTTTTGCTGCTCTGTCGAATAAATAATGTCTATAATAAGACACCCACAGTGCTTTTTGAATCTTATAAGAAATAAAATTATATTCAGGATAGCTTTAGTGTTAAGTAAAAATTTTTGGTATTTTTCTAAGATGAGAACTCTTTCAAGTAGACTTTGAGTGTTTGATTAACTTTGCAAGCATTTTATTCCCCTACTTGTGTTTAGGGTAGGAAGGGAAAAGCTAAAAAGAAAACTTCATTATGCTCTTCTAGCTCCAGCCGTTGGAGAGGTTATTTCCAAAAAGGTAGGCATGACCACAGATTCCTTCCACGTGTGCTGCTCCCTCCACTTCTCTTTCACACTCTGACGTTTGTGCTTTCACAGAGTTCCAGGTGTTGTGCTGGGAATGCTAATGAGAGAAGCCAGGCTAGAGAAGCTGTGCAGGGGCTTGATTTCCCAGCATGCGCTGCTGGAAATATGGCGTCGACCTTCCCCATGATCTTGTTTCTTTTCCCTTTCGGACTGGGGTTTATTTTTCAGCCATTTTGGGGACTCAGATGCCTAGACGCCTTGTAAATATGCAGTGTAAGTAGGAGGGAGCCCAAGTAGTCAGCTACACGTCTGGGAAATGGGAAAGTCTTAGAAAACCTAAAGGTAAATAAAATTCCAGGCAACCAACAACACTACTGTGAAAAGCAATTCTTCTGGTAGACAAAGCTCAGGGTGGAAGAACCTACCAATTCTTCCTCCTTGCATAGGAAGTTTTGTTTAATGTTATTCCATACTTAGCCATCAACTATTTTAATTCCTTGTGTCATCTTAGATTCTCTTAGCTTTATACCGATTTATTCTCTTTCCCACCCTCTCTTTTTTTCTAAAACACTTCACAGGAAAACCCAGAGGCTTTGATGGTGTGTTTTATGGCAGCAATCGCAGGAACATAAAAACCTCATAAACCTTGTATCGTGTGTCACCTTTCCACCTAATCCATATTTCAGCTGCCACTGTGTAATACAGACTGGTCTTGTCAGGCAAGGTTTACCTTCCATCCAGCTGCTCTCCCAACTAGCCTTCTATCTGGGTCTATTTATACTTTTTTCCGGATTACTAAAACAGTTCTTGCTGCCATTGAAGAAAAAGGTTAAAACTAATAGTGTGCTTCAGCATGGAGGTAAACTGTACATTCTAGTCTCCTGGTGAACAATACAGAGAAAGTGGACTTAGACTCAACATGAGGCATTTCGGATAATAAATAATGCTACATCTGTTTGGAGAGTGCTTCATTTCCTGGCAGTAAATGTGTTCAGCTAGAATGGAGGGTGGCTGGAGTGCTAAGGGTCTGGACCTCTCACTGCTACCCCTGCCTGAGGGCAGAACCCCTGGCTCATCCAGACTGATGTCTCTATGATTTCATGTATTAACTATGAATCGTGTCTACATTTTTTCCTTACAAATTTCCAACCCTTGGCAACCTTCTCCACTTTTCACCAACATTATTATTATCTACATACTAAACACTGTTTTCTCAGAGTCTTGTTCTTGGTTCCGCCTGACTAGTCCTGTAATATTTATTTAAAGTAACCTGCCCTGGCCCTTAAAATAAAAAGTTTCATAGCAATAGAGAGGAAGTATTTCCTCCCCTGGCCACACAGTCCATTTTTGTCATTTTCTTCCTTTTGGGCAGTCAGTGTTGGAGCTTTTGCACTTCAATATATCCTTGCCTCACAAGGTGTTTGCAAAGGGTTTGTCTTCTTTGCCTAAGATGTTGCTGGGAGAAAAGACGTTGAACACATATACCTCTAGATGTCAGCAAATTCCAAGCCTTGATAGTTACATAACCTGTGTTTTCTCCTACGAATGCTCCTGCCTCCTCATCCAAACACCAGCCTTCTTTTTTGGTCTCCTCCCTATGCCTCTTCTCTTGGCTCGGTTCCTCTTCTTCCCACAACACTAGGGGCAAGGAGCCCATTGGAAATGTGAGAGCCAGGTTAGCACACCCCAGACGACTTCCCTGCAAAGGATATTGGGGTCCTGCAGGCTGGCCTGGCCCATCTGTGTTCTGCAGGGTTGATGCTGGGCTGGCCTCCATGTGGAGGCACAGCGGTGCCCTTGTCCTCGGTGGTAGGGAGCCAGCAGTAGGTTATGTATTCAGCTATCGTGTGACTGAATGACACCCTCTCTCTCTACAGTCAGCACTTTGTGTCTTCTAGGAGCTGACACCCGCACTGCCAGGATCCCAGACGCTGGGCCTATTTTGGCAGACACACTCCGGAAATTCTTATTCGATCTGGATGTTGATGATGGCCTAGCTGCCATTGGTTACTCCAAGGCTGATATCCCTGCGTTAGTGAAAGGAACGCTGCCCCAGGTAAGAGATGCAGTGCGTCCTCATGCCTTTCGGAGAAGCACAAAGCTGCTGGAAAAACATGGTCCACTTGGTGGGGGGGGAGGGGGGGGGTCTTAGGGGAGAGGAAAACCCAGGTCTCCTCCATACCAGAGAACAGCTCTTCTCTTCTCCTATGGGAGGGGCCAGCCTCCCTTACCTATATATTCTTCCATAAACCTGTGGCTTTTTGGAGCTGTTATGATGTAACTGAAAGGATCTTTTATAAAAAATCAAGGCAAAAACATCCATATTTGTCTTGAAGTGTAGCAGAATTTCCCTTGTTACCATTTCTGCTCTTTTAAAAGTCCTCTATAAAACTATGTGAAGCCATTCCAAAAGGGCCACTAATATTGTTTTATATTATAAACAGTTAAAATTCCTACTATTTTGTGAAAAATAGGCATGGCCTTTAAATGGATACCATTACAAAATCACTTTTTAACATATCTGGGAGAGTGTACGTTTTATATACATAACATCTGTATACACATCTGTGTCACTTTGGGTCTTATTTATCTAAATGTTGCTACACAGATTCCCGCTTACCACAAGTAGCAATGCTTTTCCCTCATCCCTCTGGTTAAACAAAGGCCTCACACTAGCTTCTTCCCCACTTGGCAACTGCTTAGAATGCTGAGGATCTCACCACTCACATAAGATGTTATTTGTATGGATTCGGTTAACGGACTCACATGTCCTCAGGAGGTAGGTAGGCGATTGCAATGAACAAAGTAATTTAAAGCAGTAGGGAGTGGCGGGGACTTTCGTGAACTGGAAAGCTCATAATCCATCTCATTGGGTGAGCATCTTTTCAGCTACAATTTATTATCTACAAGCAGAAATTCAGGTCCCAGTGTTCATAGAGCATCCAATTAAAAGTATATATGTATCAGCAATCTGGATGTTTGTATTGCATTCCCTGTATTACCCACTGTACAAACCAAACATGGCCCATGGGCCAGCAGTTTCCTTCATTTACACTCAAATCCAGTAGCCTCAGTTGTATCTGAAAATACAAATGAATGAGAAAAGGAAACATCTCAAAGTGTAACTGAGCTCCTAGGCTAACTCAGAAACACTTAGCTCTAACCAACAAGTCCAATGGACTAGATAGCCAAAGAATATGACCATCACAGTTATTTTATCCAAACTTACTAGACTGTAAGTTCCAGGAGCGCAAGGATGTGTTTTGCTCCTTCATCCTCTACTGCACCTAGCACAGGCTAGTAAACATGTCAAATGTTTGTAAACCTGCAGCCCTCTCTCCTCCTAAGTCTTCTGAGCAGGTGAGCTTAATGGCTGAATGGTAGTAATTTTTTCAGAAGTTTCCTTACACCTAATAGGAGTCAACTAATGACAAGAAGCCTTGAAAGCCTGTCCAGGGATACCAGAGACCAAGTGGTCACCACAGTTTTGACATGGTGCTTGGCTCTTATAGCATGGTTCCAGTGATAGTGTCCATTCTTCAAGACTGGGGGAGGAGGGGATTTCTGAAGAATTCTGTTTGTTCAGGAATGTGTGTTTGTCAACCTCCAGGGATGGTATCCATGCTTTTCAGATGAAACTGTGTGATATTCTTGGCCATTTGATTGCTAGTGGCAACGCATCTTCTTGCCATCAGCACACATTGGCAAGTGTTTACTGTTTAAATTCTACTGTGCTCAGTCTTTTACTTTCAGAAACTGTTCCAGATAGCAATCCAAACTAACATTTGAGACCATCCACTAAAATAGCAAGTTAATTAGGTATCATGTTAAATGCCTCAGTGTACATGTCACACTGGGAAATCACAGATAGCAAAACCTTAATTAGACAAAGCTAATTTCTTAGTTTCACAAAAGATGCAAGACAAATTGAATCCTTTGAATACAAGTCAAAAAGCAGGAGGCCAGGATTTCCTCAAGTTGTATTCATAAAGCAGCCCCAACACGTATCCTGCTTTTTTTTTTTTAATCATGTTTCTATGATTGGGAGAAACATACATAGTTAATTTTAATAAAGTAGCACTAGTTCCATTTTGGACTCCATGTAATTGAGTCAATGTGTTCTATATATGGAGAGGACAGGAGAGATGCACGGAACTTAGAAGGCATCTTAGAAATCAGCTTGTCTGTTTTGCAGATGAAGAACTACTATGGGTTTTTTGTTTGGTATTTTTTGGCAGCAGTGAACATTTTACAGGAATGCTATAGCAACTTCAGAATTTTACACATGCACAAGCTAATCTTCACTTATTAGTACCTACAGGATTTAAGGTAGTGAGAGGGATATATTGGTTGCTGCAAAGAATATTGCCAGAAAGATTATTTATGTAGTCGACATTTGATAAAGCTTCTTTTATGTTCAGCAAGGAGGGATCAGTTTTCTCTGGAAGGAACAACCAGGCCAGTATTCTTGACCGAACACCACATCCCATACTGATGGCAGCAAACAGCAGCCCTGTGTGCAGAGGCTTCCAACCGCCATACCCAGGCTGCAAGGGGAGCAGGCAAGAATAAATTAATCTTCCAAGTGGGGTTTCTGAAACCTCTGGGAAAAAACATTTACATTTCAAATCCAAACATTTCATTTCTGAGGAGAGCTGTCTACCAAAATGAGCACTTCCACGCCCTGGCAGACAGGCCAGTCAAAATGTTGTTATTTTATGAATGTGCTAAAAGTAGTAGTCAGGATTTATTTCAGTGCCCATGTTAATCAGTTGTTCTTTGGTTTTAAGCATCTATAAATAATAGCGCTGAACACATCTTAATTCTGAGAGTTTGGCTTTTCTGTGGCATAGATGATACATGGGGGGATATATCACAAACATTACATCCTTGCCCCCATTTAACCAATCATGGAGCTTTAGAAATGTGAAGGAGAAACCCCGATCACTTGGCCTGAAATAATTCTGAGAATCCTGAACTATTTCGCCAAAGATGAACAGGATCATCTTAAGGGACTCTGAGATCACCAGATAAGATTCTCTCCTGTTATAAACAGAATACTGTGGCAATAATCGTCGGCCATAGCAAATGCTGAATTTCCGTTCTTGACCCTGCCGCTCACAGGTATGTAGGTCGCCATGAACAGGTCTCTGCCTTGCTCTGGATTCTCAAAATTCCTTAGAATCTCTGAAGATCTGCTGCAGTATAAACTCTTATTTGGTTTCACCCACATTCATCATATTGTCCCCCATCCTTCTCCCATCTGCCCTTCCATCCTTCCTTTTGTCTTTTTTAATGTTTATTTATTTTTGAGACAGAGAGCAAGGGAGGTGCATAGAGAGAGGGAGACACAGAATCAGAAGCAGGCTCCAGGCTCTGAGCAATCAGCACAGAGCCTGATGTGGGGCTCGAACCCACAGACCATGAGATCATGACCTGAGCCAAAGTCTGATGCTTAACCAACTGAGCCATCCAGGCGCCCCTTTCCTTCCTTTCTTTAATTATTTTTTTTAATCATGGTAAAATGTATCTAATATAAAATGTATTAATTTAACCATTTTTAAGTGCATAATTCAGTCCCAACGAGTACATTTAGTGTGGTGCAACCATCACTACTATCCATTTCCAGAAAATAGAAGCTCTGCTCTATTGCTTAATGGTAAACAATAATTCCCCTTCCCCAACCTCTGATGACCTCTATTCTACTTTCTGTCTGTACGGATTTGCCTGTTACAGGTACCTCGTTTCATAAGTGGAATCCTACAATATTTGTTCTTTTGGGTCTGTATAATGACTTCACTTAGCATAAATCCTTAATGTCAGAATTTCACTCCTTTTTATGGCTGAGTAATATTCCATTGCATGGATATACCACATATTGCTTTTCCATTTATGTTCAGATGGACATTTGGGTTGTTTCTGCCTTTAAGCTATTGTGAATAGTGCTACTATAAACATTGGTTGTATGAATATGTTTTAGTCCCTGCTTTCAATCTATTTGGCTATATACCTAGGAATAAAATTATAGATCATAGGGTACACCTTCTCTGTTTAACTTTTTGAGGAACTGCTAAACTGTTTTCCATAGAGGCTGTACCATTTTGCATTCCCACCAACAATAAGTGAAGTCAGCAATACACAAGGGTTCCAATTTCTCCACATCTTCACCAAGATTTGTTTTTTCCATTTTTTTATAGCTATCCTGATGGATGGGAAGTGGGAACTCATTGTGGTTTTGAATTGCATTTTGCTAATGACTGATTTCATGTGTTTATTGGCTATTTACATATCTTCATTGAAGAAATATCTATTCAAGTCTTTTGCCTATTTTTGAGTTGGGTTGTTTAGGGTTTTCTGCTGTTGAGTTGTAGCAATTATTTATATATTCTAGATATTACTAGAATATCAGATGTATATCTTATATACATCTTATCAGATGTATAATCTGCAAATATTTTTCTCATTCTGTCTTTTCAACTCTCTTGAGAGTGTCTTTTGATGCATAAAAGTTTCAAATGTGGATGTAGTCCAATTTACCTATTTTTTTTTTATTGCCTGTGCTTTTGGTGTCATAGCCAAGAAAATATTGCCAAATCTAATGTCATGAAAATTTCCCCTATTTTCTTCTAAGAGTTTTAGTATTACATCTTACATGTAAGATGTAAGTCTTTACATTTAGATCTATTTTGAGTTAATTTTTTTAATGTTTATTTATTTATTTTGAGAGAGAGTTTGTATATGAATCCCAAGCAGGCTCCGCACTATCAGCACGGAGCCCAGTGCAGAGCTCAATTTCACAAACTGGGAGATCATGACCTGAGTCAAAATCATGAGTCAGATATCCAATCAACTGAGCCACCAAGGCACCCCTGAGTTAATTTTTTTAATACATCCTTCTTATTTTCATTCTTCCTTTTACCTTACCTTCCTTTTACTTACTGAGGTCCTGTTTTTACATGCATTGAACAGGATATGGTAAGGAGAAAAATAAAGTCTCTTCCCTACCTCGTAGACCTAACATTCTAGTGAGAGAAGACAGACAATGGGCATCTAATCAAATCTATAAATAAGGTATAAATGAAATCATTCCAGTTAATGATTAATGATATGAAGGAAAACCTGGGCAATGAGATAGTGATTTCACATGGGACAGTGTAGAGGGAACTCCAGTGAGGGTGGTCACAGAAGGTTTCTGACTAGAGGTGGAGCCAGCCACGTTGAGATCTGGGAGAAGCACTCCAGGCAGAGGGGAAAGGCCCTAAGACAGCATGAAGATGAGCATTTTTGTGGGACTGAGAGGGGATGGTGGGGCTAAGTGAGATGAACTGATGGGAGAAGAGTCAGAGCTGAGGTGAGCATCAGGGCCTGAACAGGGTGGCACTGGAGGCATAGTCTTGTAATTGCAGTGGGAAGTCATCAGAGAGGATGAAGCAAGCAATGATAGGAGCAATTTATACTGGGGGGG